TATATGTTGTACAGCACGCCCAATCAATGCATGATTCAAAAGCTTTAAATTGTATGTACAACGGCAGTTGTAACGGCCCAATTGAACTCATCGTTTCAATGGTCTCAAAGTATTTACTCATCGAGTACTTGGTTTCAATATTTTTTTTAAAAACATCATTTAGTTTTATACTTGAGAATTTTAGTAGGCCCTCCTACTCATAATTTATATATCTCAGCAGCATGTATCAATAAACATCAAGAACACTCCCAAAAAATTAAAAAGCTAATATAACAGGCCAAAGTTATATCCTATAAGGTACACATATCCAAGCCTGGATATAACAAGCTCTTATTTTCCCAGTAGAATGGGCATAATTATTGTCCTGGCCCAGTACCTGGAAGAAATGCCAGGTCTTCATGGTTCCACGAAAGCCTTATAGGGTCAGGCTCACCCAAAACTCCAGTGGGGTGGGGTGGGGTGGACTTGTTCCAAAGTACAGGTGTAGCAACAGAAAAGGCACATCGAGTCTCATTAGATAATATTGCTTGAGGGACTGGAGCATGCTCACCCTGTACAATCTAATGGAATGGACTAAAGTAACCAGAGATAGGCAGTTTTCCAAATAAAACAGGTCTGTGCCATGCAAGCATTATAAGTGATAAATACTTTGACTTGCATCTGGAAGTCTATATGGAGCCAGTAGAGCTTATGGAATAGTGGTATTACATAGATGCACTGATGTTTGCCCGTTACTACTCAATGCCACTGGACTAGTTGCAGCATTTGGATGATCTTTAAGGGCCCTTCCATGTACAGCACACTGCAGAATCAAAATGAAAAATAACCAAGATGTGAGTGATTATGACCAGACCTCTTAATCCGGAAAGAGATGCAAGATGTAGCCTTGATCTGCCTCCCAATCAAGTAAGCTCAGGTGGACCTCCATATTATCTGCAGCTCTGAATGGGTGAGTGAAACCTCACCCAGTTTTAAATACAGTAAATCTTCAGATCTAGCCCAGCTGCTTGGTCTTCCGAAGATTAGGCATTAAATCTACTGAGATTAATCAGCTCAACTATGTTTACCTTTAGCTCAGATTGTGTCTGGTAGGTACAAGAAAAGGATATGGAATGATTAATATTGTTTCAATTCATCAGAATTGATTTAAGAAATCACGATTACATTTTTAATGTTTCTCTAACAGCTTCACCAGCACAATATTAGATGTAACAGGGGGCTGCAGTATTCCCTCACATTTCATATTGCATCTGCAGTATATTCATACAACTTTAATTTACATAATCAGTTTTTTTTTCTTTCTATTTACAATAATAAGCTGCATAAATTTTCAGGGAAATTATCCAGGTCTCACCAACAGACTTTATCTCATCCAATCTGCCCCAAAACCAATCTGATTTAAATTCATGGCTTGTTTCCCATGTTACGTTTTCAATACCTGATTGAATTCTGAAAAAAATGAAGACAGGAGTTCCTTTAAACGTATGTCCAGTATTGTTCCGTGCTTTGGTCCACTCCCTTCTTTTACATACCAATAAAGCATTGCATATGCAATATATTACACGGACATCTCATGCCTCATCAGCTCCAGCACAACGGACAAGAATCGATCAAAATCTCCTTGCCTTTTAGACAAGGCTGCCTTTCACAAGGCTCCAAATCCCTGATAGCCAATCGCGGCCAGGATTCCCTTTGACGTCTGAGCTGCCCAACGCCTTCTCCCATCATCTTCCCTTCATTCCATCTCCAACTCCTCCTCTTTCCCCGCCCACCCCCAGTCTAATAACCCAGGGGGTGGGTCGCCGTCCCCAACTCCGCGCCACGCCCTCCTCTCGCACCCAATGGCCATCCCCCCGAACTTCTAAAGCTCGTCCAAGATTGGTTCGCCAACCCGAGCCAATCGCGTCGCCCCGCCACCGTAGTATATAAAGCAATGCTGGGGCTGCGCTCCCCGCAGTGCTCAAGCGTTGCAGGCGCGGAGACAGGAGGGGACGGGTGGAAGGAAGGGAACTTGGCTCTTGCACGCGCCGAGGTTACGCCTTCCCTTTCCCCGCCCCCTCCGGTTTCCCTCAGAACGATTTCTTTCCTCGGGTGTTTTTTTTCCCGCCTTTCTTCACCTTCTGGAATTTTCCTCTGTGTTTTTTTTGGTGGGGTGAAGCGGTTTCCTCAGCCGTTCCAACCCCGTTTTGTGTTTGATTTCGGTTTGTGTCTCCGCCTTTCTCCGGCGCTTCTCTACTTCCCTCCACACCCACCCACCCTCCCTTTTCTTGTCTCCCTTGGGAAGAGCCCCTCACAATGCGCGCCACGGGGACCGGGACGGCTGGCACGGCCACCGCCAGCTCGGGGAAAGCGCCGCCGACCACGCCGGCTGACGGGGACGGGCGCTTCAGCGTCCTCAGCTGGGAGCAGGTGCAGCGGCTGGACCACATCCTGGAAGAAGCCGTCCCCATCCATGGCCGCGGCAACTTCCCCACCTTGTCGGTGCGGCCCCGCAGAATCGTGCAGGTGCGTGGAGAGTCGAAGCCCGAGGCAGGCGGGGGAGCCGTTTGGAGATCCCGCCGGATGGGATGATGATTTACCTCAGGAACGCAGCCTGCTTTTCGGGATGACAGACTGACACGGGGTGGGGCGGGACACCTTCCGTATCCTTCGGGGCCGGGATGTGGGATCGCCTGGGGAAGCGGGTGGGGGTGAGTGGAAGAAGGCCAGGCCGGCGGAAAAACGCCTCAGTAGTTCGGAATGCGCATCGTACATACCAGGGCTCTTCCTAAAATTAATAGTCGGTATTCGGGCTTCCTCGGGAATTAAAGGGCCGCCCGCCGCACGGCAGGATCTGCCGCTGGAAAAGTCACTGCGCGTATTTTTAGCGGAGGAGCCGCCCCCTTTATTGGGAGGATGCTTAAGGTCAGGGTGGGAATTGCTCAAGCTTTGAGGTTTATGTGGGTTTAAAAGCAGCGTAGCTTCCCCCTCGCCTATGGTCGGCAGCGAGGGAGGTGGGGCGAAGAGAAGCATGGAGAGTGAAATCGAATAGGACGCTGTTAAATTGATTTAAAATAAAAAAACATCTTGGAGGTCCCTTTATAAGGAAGAGGGGATAGCATCTCCTAGAGGCTTCCCTCTCGCTTATTGGGGGGGGGGGGAGGACAGAGAGAAGCACAGGGAGTCAAATCGAATAGGACTGTGTTAAATTGATTTTTTTTTTGAAAAAAAACTTGAAGGTAAGGTCCATTATAAGGAAGAGGGCATGGCATCTCCTGGAAGCTTCCCTCTTACCTATGGGGAAGTGGGGGTGGAGGGGTCGAATAGGGCACTGTTAAATTGATTTAAAACAAAAAAACACCTTAGAGGTTAAGTCCCTTTATAAGGAAGAGGGGATGGCATCTCCTGGAAGCTTCCCGTGAGAGCTGCAGTCTCATCAGCTGAATCCATTTGTCCTTGAATTTATTTGGAATTATTTAGCTGTTTTAGGATATCAACCCAGGTAGAACTCCAGAGTTATATAGTGTCAAGATGAGATGACGGGTTAATTGCTGTCACAATTTTGGCCATTTNTCTTAAAGCTGTCGAGTTACAAGACCCTTGCACCCCTAACCCTTTAGAAAAAAAACCCCAGGGGTGTTCAAACTTGACAGCTTTAAGACTTATGGACTTCAACTCCCAGAATTCCTCCTCTCGCTCTTCATCTTGATGATGTGCGGACGGGCGGGGGGAGGGAGCTGGAACCGGTTCTAAACTGCACAGTAGATTTGTGGAACCTCTTCTATAGAAGAGGTTAGAACTGGCAGGAACTCTGGCAGGTTGCTACACTAAGCATGTACATGGACAAGCCAAGTGGTCTGGCTGTGCCTCAGAAGGACTGGTTCACACAACATACTAAACCAGGGGTCTCCAACCTTGGCAACTTTTAAGACTTGTGGACTTCAACTCCCAGCAAAACTGTAGGAAAGCTGGCTGAGGAATTCTGGGAGTTGAAGTCCACAAGTCTTAAAGTTGCCAAGGTTGGACACCGCTGTACTAAACTATATAATGAGTTAGGTAGAAAAAAGCAAATGTCATTTTTCCCCACAAGGGCTACTGAGGCCTGATGTGATAAACTCATAGAGGGGGAGTAATGTTTTCAGACAGTTCTTGGTTTTTCAGATCTTTGCAGATTGTAATGCTTGTACTTTGTGTTTTTGGAGGGTTTCCTGGTTTACTGTAAAACCAGGAAAAAAATCATACAAAGGAAAATTGGCAGTTTTGTCACCAAATCTTGGCAGTACAGTGTGAGAATGCTCTAGAAACTTTACAAATGAGGCGGTGACTGCATGTTGTCCAGCTTTTGAGTGTTTTTCTGAAACATGAACTTGGAGCTTCCAGGTTGTCGGGACCCTAGTACTAACTGGAGAATTACAAGCACTTAATGTTGGCAGTTCAGCAAACAACAACGGTTCAACAGGATTTCAACAACTCTGTTCAGAGCAGCAGGCTGATTGCCACAAAACCATTGAATTCAAGGAAGAACTATTCATGTAAAAGTAGAGCAGAACAAAAAGAGGCACAAAGAGCCTTGGCAAATGCATTACAAAAATAGAAGCACTACAGGGAAGTCAAAAGATAGATGGAGAAAGGCATCATGCCATTGCCAATTAAGTTGAGTTCATGCCAATGTAGCACATTCAACTATAATTCTAAACGAGTGAACCTAAAGAGATATGAAAGAGCAATGGCTCTTCTCAGAAAAATCAGGTATACAGACATATTTTTATGCATTACCCAAAATTCACAATGTCGATTGTTTGGTTTGACACAGCATGCTGCATGAAACCAATCCTTGCGGCATTACTAACTACTACTCGTGGCTTCGAATGTTGTGTGAATTCTAAGTTGTGACTTATTTGATAAATAATGACTAAACCACCTATACCTTGATGTTATATGTTGTACAGCACACCCAATCAATGCATGATTCAAAAGCTTTAAATTGTATGTACAATGGCAGTTGTAACAGCCCAATTGAACTCATCGTTTCAATGGTCTCAAAGTATTTACTCATCGAGTACTTGGTTTCAATATTTTTTTTAAAAACATCATTTAGTTTTATACTTGAGAATTTTAGTAGGCCCTCCTACTCATAATTTATATATCTCAGCAGCATGTATCAATAAACATCAAGAACACTCCCAAAAAATTAAAAAGCTAATATAACAGGCCAAAGTTATATCCTATAAGGTACACATATCCAAGCCTGGATATAACAAGCTCTTATTTTCCCAGTAGAATGGGCATAATTATTGTCCTGGCCCAGTACCTGGAAGAAATGCCAGGTCTTCATGGTTCCACAAAAGCCTTATAGGGTCAGGCTCACCCAAAACTCCAGTGGGGTGGGGTGGGGTGGACTTGTTCCAAAGTACAGGTGTAGCAACAGAAAAGGCACATCGAGTCTCATTAGATAATATTGCTTGAGGGACTGGAGCATGCTCACCCTGTACAATCTAATGGAATGGACTAAAGTAACCAGAGATAGGCAGTTTTCCAAATAAAACAGGTCTGTGCCATGCAAGCATTATAAGTGATAAATACTTTGACTTGCATCTGGAAGTCTATATGGAGCCAGTAGAGCTTATGGAATAGTGGTATTACATAGATGCACTGATGTTTGCCCGTTACTACTCAATGCCACTGGACTAGTTGCAGCATTTGGATGATCTTTAAGGGCCCTTCCATGTACAGCACACTGCAGAATCAAAATGAAAAATAACCAAGATGTGAGTGATTATGACCAGACCTCTTAATCCGGAAAGAGATGCAAGATGTAGCCTTGATCTGCCTCCCAATCAAGTAAGCTCAGGTGGACCTCCATATTATCTGCAGCTCTGAATGGGTGAGTGAAACCTCACCCAGTTTTAAATACAGTAAATCTTCAGATCTAGCCCAGCTGCTTGGTCTTCCGAAGATTAGGCATTAAATCTACTGAGATTAATCAGCTCAACTATGTTTACCTTTAGCTCAGATTGTGTCTGGTAGGTACAAGAAAAGGATATGGAATGATTAATATTGTTTCAATTCATCAGAATTGATTTAAGAAATCACGATTACATTTTTAATGTTTCTCTAACAGCTTCACCAGCACAATATTAGATGTAACAGGGGGCTGCAGTATTCCCTCACATTTCATATTGCATCTGCAGTATATTCATACAACTTTAATTTACATAATCAGTTTTTTTTTCTTTCTATTTACAATAATAAGCTGCATAAATTTTCAGGGAAATTATCCAGGTCTCACCAACAGACTTTATCTCATCCAATCTGCCCCAAAACCAATCTGATTTAAATTCATGGCTTGTTTCCCATGTTACGTTTTCAATACCTGATTGAATTCTGAAAAAAATGAAGACAGGAGTTCAGTATTGTTCCGTGCTTTGGTCCACTCCCTTCTTTTACATACCAATAAAGCATTGCATATGCAAT